GTGGGCTCTGGAAGGGGTGGAACAGGGCAGGAAGAGGCGGAGCGAGGGTGGGTGCGCTCTGGAGGGGGTGGAACAGGGCAGGAAGAGGCGGAGCGAGGGTGGGGTGCGCTCTGGAGGGGGTGGAACAGGGCAGGAAGAGGAGGAGCGAGGGTGGGTGCGCTCTGGAAGGGGTGGAACAGGGCAGGAAGAGGCGGAGCGAGGGTGGGTGCGCTCTGGAGGGGGTGGAACAGGGCAGGAAGAGGCGGAGCGAGGGCGGGGTGCGCTCTGGAGGGGGTGGAACAGGGCAGGAAGAGGCGGGGCAGGGTGGTGCCTTGGGACAAAGGGTGGAGGGGGGGCCTGGGGCAGAGTGGGAGTCAAGCACCCCCAGGGAAATTAGAAAGTCAGCACCTCTGAACGCATCCATGTTGCACTACACAGACCATCTGACTTAGCTCTGCAGCTTGAGCTACGTCCACACTGCAAAATGACAGGGCTTGGCCCCAAGTCACAGCAGGACGCAGGCTCTGACCCTCCCCCCTAACAGGTTCATGGGTCCTTAATGCTTCCTGACCCAGCTCAGACTGATTGTGTGTGGACAGAAGTGGGGCTTGGGCTCAAACCCGTGTCCCCACAGCCTGGGCTTAGTGTGCAGTTAGTCTCTCAGGTCTGTTCCCAGCTGTAACCTTGGGTGGGAATAACAGCTCTGCCCTACCGCATAGGGGTGTTGTGAGGATAAATACTGTAAAGATTGTGAAGCACTAAGGTAACAGAGGCCAGATAAGCACCTACAATAGGTAGCTTCACAGTTCTCAACTTTAGCTTCCTAAAAGAATCAGAAACAGTCACTAGAAGAAATGCCCATTCTCACTGCTTCCATTCAGGAAACTGCTTCTGGGATTCTTGTTCGGTGAAAAGCGAGTGGTCAATCATGTGAATGTACCATATCAGAAGCCTACTGAACCCAGGAAGAACAGTCTGCTCTTGACTCGCCTGCCCATCCCTTCCAACTATCACACACTTCTGAAACTTTCCCTCAACGCCCGCTGGGCTCTGAGCTTGCCAGGTTCCCTACACATTTAACCCCACTGCAACCCCTGGAATGAATTCAGGTGTGAATATGGCCCATCCCTGCCTGACTAGCTATCACACCCTTCTAGAACCTCTCCTCAAGGCCCCTAGGACTTCTGTGGTTTGGTGTGATCCCTGCTGCTGGAGCAGGGGTCCCCAACGTGGTGCCCGCGGGCGCCATGGCGCCCGCCGGGGTGTCTAAGTGCGCCTGCGTACTGGCCGGCGGAGGAGCATCCGCCAAAATGCCGCCGACACGCAGCGTCATCCAGAGGCGTCGCTGCCGAAATGCCGCCAATTTTCGGTGGCATTTTGGCGGTGACGCCTCTGGATGACGCTGCTTGTCAGAGGCATTTCTGCGGCGACGCCTATTGACGTTGCCGCTTGTCAGCGGCATTTCAGCGGCGGCTCCTCCGCCGCCACGCTCCTCCGTGGCTCGTCGTCTGGCGCCCGCCACACGAAAAAGGATGGGGACCACTGTGTTGGAGTCTCAGTTTTTCCCCAACATAAAGTGCTAATCTTGCACATTCACAATCAGTCCCATTTTCCTTAGGGCTCCCTGCAGCATCTCAAACGCCAGCTCTTCAAAGGGCAACAACACTGGCAGCTTCTAATGACTGAATGCGAATGCAAACAACGGATCTTCTTGATTCCACTTAGGACACGTTCGGGGTCGGACGGCTTGCTAGCTCCATGGAGGAAGAGAGAGGTGTTTTGCTCCAAGACCACAGGAGCTGTTTCGTTTCTTGACATAAAATGCTAACGCTATCTGGAAAGGATCCCATTTCTGAGAGTTTAGGATTCAAATGTTTTCTGCCAAACAAACCTCACAGATCAACAGCAGCTGGGACGTGCCTTGTTTTATTTCCCATTTCCTGTACTTATCATACCAAAGAGGACTGATGATTGGAGAGAGTATTCTTGGAATGCACCTGTTTATCCTCCTGGCTTCTCCCCACTCTCTCCCCCTGACCCTCAGCAATCTGTGGGTGATGGAACGGGATGACTGTAATCATGAGACACTGAGCCGGAATTGCAAGGGGAGGGGATAATGACCACTCCGGAGCATTTTAATGCTTTTTGAATTTTAAAATGTGCTTGATGAATTGCACAGCAGCCAGCAGCTCCCAAAAACGAACAGAAGGGGGACTGGGTGGCTCACGGGAGCCAGAGACTCATCGCTAGAAATGGTCCAGTCTACACTTGGTATTTCTTGACACTTTGCTGATGATGTATGTGAATGGGGTTGCTTGTCCTGAGTCCGGGACAGATATCTACATAATTAAAACTACCATTACAACTGGCATTAATTGGCCTCCTTACTGGCAGTCTCAGAAGGGCCAAGGATTGAATGGGCCATGGAGGGTGACCTTCCCCCTCATCCCTAGAGTTGTCTTCCAAGTCATTGGCTGGGTGGTGTGGGGAAGTTTGCACCGGTCTTGCGTCTCCCTCCCCTAGTGTCTGAAGAGAGGGTCACAGTCTCCACAGCTGTCAATGTGGCACCAGCATCAAACTCACTGCAAGGAATAAAAATGAAATTAAAATGAACAGAAATGATTTTATTTCCACTGAGCTAGGGGTAGGGTCATTGTAATGAATCCCTTGCCTTCAACTGGAAAGACTGTACATACGAAGCCAAGACTGAACAGTATTCTACCGAAAGGAAGAGGAATTAAAGCGTGGACATTGACGTGGAGAACAAGAATATTCACAATGATAGTTAATGCTAAGAAATTTTGGAAGAAATGCTTCAGGGTTAAAAGAACCTGTAACTATTCGGGATTAAGATGAATCCTAATCTGGAGAATGGATCAGGGTGAGGGAGAAAGGCACGCTGAAGGATGGTTCAAGCACTAAAGTAGTTAAAGATCAATGAGTCCATGTTTGAAAAACACTATTTTAATGTTAAGTTTTATTATCAATAAATAGTAATTGGTATGAAAACAAGAAAAATATTTGGGATGAACATTGAGGACAATTTGTTAACTTTGCAAACTACTAAGTGGTGGAATAGTCTCCCAAAAGAAAAAACAGCGTCATTTGTGGCATTTAACACCAATCCTGCACTGTCTGAAGTGGGATGTATGTTTTTAGCGGAATTTATCTCTATTTTTAATGTTTCTGTGAAAGTGGCTCTATTCTGGCCATCATCTCTGGTTTCCTGTCATACCACTCCCCCTCTTCCACCAACCCCTCCCTCCCTCTGTATTCTTCTCTTCTTTGGGCATTCTTCCAAATCCCTCCTTCAAAATACATTTCAACCATGCCACCTACCTGGGATAATCCATCACTCTAATCTGTCAGGTTTACCCCATGCCCATCATCGCACTAGCCAAACACCCAGCATTGATAATTCTCAGTCAATACAAAAGAAATGCTGGACAATGGATTGATTGCTTTTCGTTCATTTTATTAGACTACAAAGATCCTCATGGCAGAGGCCCTGCGTGCTGCACATTCTGTATAGCTCTAAGTGCAGTCTGTGCACAACTAATTATAATCATAGGAGCCCAGCAGAGGGGAGATAACCAGGTTGTCATAAATCAGGTGGACTAGGAAAAATGGGAAGCAAAATGCTTCGGATTTCTGAGATCCCTGCCCATTCCCACAAATGGGATTACTTAGAGCAACAGCACAGAAAGAGTAGCTTGAAGGGCCTGTAGAGTCCTGAATCTAGCCCCGAGTCACTCTCCCCTTGTAAGAGAAGGAGGAACACAAAATTGATCAGATCATCAGTGGAATTTGAATATCAGTGAACTCAAACAAGCAGCAATTGCTAGTGATGTTCCAAACACTAGTACAAAGGAACAGTACGAGCATGTGAATGTAGTTCTCATTTTAAAATGTCTGAAGATTTAAATACACGTCCTATATGACGTCCTCAAGGTCCTGGCAAGTTACCAGTGTGGTCCATAGGTGCAATGGTTGGGCACCCACCTCGGACTTCTCTGTTCATTGCTAGATTTGTTGCCAAATGTCTGTAATCAGGCAGGTTTTACAATGAATGAAGCCCAGTTCCTAGTGCAGATCACTGCATCTTTCATTAATGCAGGTTCTGTATTATTGGTAGGCGCTGCCCCGTTTCACAGATAGAGCCCCTTCCCCATGGGAACTGTCAGGAGCAGATAACCAACTGAGCTCTGACAGAGCAGACTAGCTGCAGTGAATGAAATTTGATCTCATCGACTGTGTCTTCTAATGCTCTCTTTATTACATATTGTTAAAAAAAAAAACCACAACAGCCAACCCTCTGCTATTAATGAGCCCATCTGCCTGACATGGGTGTATTGTTAGAAAGCAGCAAGAATAAGCAAAGCCCAGAGAGCACTGCTCGGGGGTGGGGAGAAAGGGGGATTATTTATGACAAAGCATAAATTATTTACAGCTGCAGAGACATGTGGAGAAGCAATCGGCTTTCATCTAAAAAGTTACTCTGTGTGTGTGAGCACGAGCACAAACTAAGGCCTGATGTGGGGGGAAGCCGGGACAAATCATGATCGCGGATCATGTCCCTCCTCTTCATGTCCTCCTGGATCAGCTGTAAATGACCAGTGAGTGATGTGTGTAGCCACTGATAATAGCTCTGTGGCAGAGGTGATGGCACAACAGATCGGTCCAGCTCTGGACAGAGTATTCTTGTCCTTCTGCTCAACTGAAAGAGGGTCCCTTAAAGGTAAGCGCCTAGTCTTGTCTGTGCATGTTTGCCCAGTGAATCTGAATGCCGTGGGAGCAGGGTCTTCCTTCTAAGGTTCTAGTGGGGTCTTCACTGTGTTCAAAATCATGACCTAAGTGGAGGTGCCCGGTTATACATGAGGGCAGGTTTCTGCCTATACTACAGAGGATTTTGGTGAGGTGATTGTGCGGTCACACAAAGCTATGTTTCCATAGGATGCTAGAAAGTCCATCTTAGTGTGTGCTCTTGTCTCGCGGAAGCAAGCTGAACCCCACAATTTCTTTTTGTTCTAAATACACAAGTGGTTCTTCCTGGTAAATATATTTCCATACACTGACTAGTCACAGAAGTTCCGTTTAACTTCACTGATGTACCCCTTCCTAGATTACATTCACCTGCCCCCGGCTTCCTCCCTCTTACTCACATAGTTTGTCCCTCCAGTCTAATTATTTCAGATCTATAGCCTCCATGGGGGGAAATCTTATTCCCAAAAATAAAGAGCAAAATTCAGCTTTGATGTGAACAAGCACAAGCCTATTGACTCTGGTTGTGTTAAATTCACGTACCCAACTCTGGTTTTGAAAAGCCTGAAGCAACATTGTAAGGGCCAAATAGCTGTGCTCCACGATAAGCATCTCAATCTGCAAATCCACTTATCCACGTGAGCAGTGGCACTGCCTTCAATAGGATTACTTACCTGAGTAGATGCTTGCAGGACTGGGCTCTTATCCCGGCTGCTCATTCCCCCCTCAATGTCTCTGATTCCCTTTTAATTTCAGCATCAAGCCAGCAGCACCCTGCGTTCAGGATGGGAACATGAACATGCCAGAAATACTCCCTCTTCACTCTGCTTTGTGAAATCTACAACCAAGGATTCCTTTCCTTGTTTTAGTCACCTTTACCTTTTACACTAAAACACTCTGTCTGAATGCTGCAACTTTCCCTTCATTCATCATCCTCTCTTTTCCTACCACGGATTTACTCTTACCTTTGCTCTGACGCCTCTCCCATTCTCCTCCAAAACCTGATGTTTTAGACCTTGAGGGCACTTCTCTCTCTACTTTCTGTACTTCCTTGTTCATTCCCATTGCCTTTTCTGCTCCTGGGGTATTTATTGAGCTGTATGGTGCATGGAGAACATTGGGGATACAGTAATTTACCTTTAATTCTTTCCATTTCCTCTTGTGTCCTTTTCCTCCATTGCTTTTTCTTCTCAGTTTTAACCAGATCTTAATGGAGTCTCTCAGAATGTATCCTACTGAAATTACACAGTTATTCTCCTTTCTTTGGCACTCATTTCGGACCTCACTACCAGTCTGTCTAGATTCTTGTCTTCCTGGGGCAGATTACGCTCCGTTACAATGGTGTTGATGTGGCCTAAATCCATTGATTTCTGTGGAATTACTCTGCATTTACTCCAGTGTGACCAACAGCAGAATCCGGCCCGTGATTGCTACTACACCTGTACACGTCCACTCATTTCAGCTCTGTTGCTGAAAGCCCAGTCAAGAACTGCTTCCAAGAGAGTTCCCTCCTTTCCAAAATGTGCCCGGAAGACATTCTCTTGCAAGATGCCCTCAGATGTGAGACTCCATTCATTCATTCTGTTTAGTCAGACTCAGTTTGTGATGGATTTGTTGAAATCCTCCAAGGAAATTAGTCTATTCTTTCCACAACTGTCTCTAGGTGTAACCAACTGTCACTTCTTGCTGCACGGAGTTCTGTAGGTTGATTGCACAATGAGTTAAGAAGAAAAATCCCATTATTTTAGATTTACTGTGTTCTCACATCCAGTGTTCAGTGTGGAAACGAGTGTCTGAAACCAGAAGGATTTCAAGCGGCCCTTTGGTATTTCAGACACCACAATTAAAAAGTCATCCCTTTATCTGAATTAAAGAGAGGGGGAGATGAGTAAATGGCATCGCCACTGCGATGCCCAAACCCCAATGTTACTCCTTCCGAAGAGTCTCACAATCCTTGATAATTGTTAATAATCTGCAGAGGCTTCAGTCATCAGAAAATATCGCTCCACATTTCCCACCTTCCACCAAATCTTTCATACACATTTAAGACTGATTCCAACACTGATCACCATGGTTTCCAACTATTAAGCATTTTATCTCTATGAAAAGCAGCTGTTAATTATGACACTATTTCCTGTCACTTAGCTACTTTTAAAATCCCTACAGGATTTGCCCCTTTACTCCATGGCTATTTATTTTCTTTAACAGCATCTTGGAAAGACCTTGGCAAATGCTTTGGAAAATCCAAGTAAACTATATCTGCCCGATTCCCCTTCCTCCATTATTTTAATAGTTCTGCCAAAGATTTCTAGCAGGTCAGAGCAGCAATATTTACCCTTGCAGCACCTGTGCTGGTTTGACTGTATTCATTTTACATTTTTCTACATGGTGCATTATTTGGAAATTACACTCAGTTTTCCCAGCGCTGACATGAGGCTTGTTAACCTGTGATTCTCATTGTCACCCTAGCTCCTCTTTGGAAGAAGATAATCACAGGGGTGAATTTCCATTCTTCAGGTTCAGTAGCATGGTTAGGGATCGGTCACAGATCCTTAGGGCAGCCTCACGTTTTAGTTCCTTAAGAACTCTTGTGTGAATGCCATCTGGTTCTAGGGACTCCCTGCACTCAAGTTACTTGAGCTGTTCCATAATCTCTTCCTCAGAGACTTCTTGCTCTGTTCATGCCATACTATGATTTCCTGTAAAGAATGCCCTTGAGATAGGAATTTCCTCATCATCTGCTTTAGGAAGGCTGCTGCAAGGAATTCATTTACCTTCTCTCCAACTGCTTCATCCCCTTTAATTACCCTACTAATTCTAG